AGATTACAGATTGATTGAAATGGTTTAATTCTTACACTTATTCTTTGGAAGACGTCCTTAATTTCAGGTCAACTTCAAAGTCTATGCAGGAAATTGCAAATGGATGCCACTTCAACCAACCAGTATTTAAAAAATATGACCTTTTTTTAAAAGACAAATAAAAAATTACTTATGACAAGGTCCTCTCATATGTTTTCCAAGGATTCAAGTTCATCTTTTTAAAAGGTATTTGAGAAATTCAATTTAATCTGATAAAACCTTTCTGGCGAACATGCCTAATACATTTATGATAAAAGAGCAACTTCCTGGGCTACAGTATTACTTGTGAGATGTCTAGATGAACAGAAGGATAAAACGTTCAAAACCATAGAACAATAGTTTATTAAAGTAAAAGCTATAAAACAATCATTTATGAGCTATACAGGCAAATCGAAAACATTGCTTTGATTGACAGAACTGCAATACTGCTAGAACTGCAGTCGAAAACCGTCCAGCATTCATTGCATTGAACATCACCTGAAAACGATATGATCATTTAGCTAAATGTTAAGATTAAAGTCCATAAATGACGCAGACCTCACACAATTTACAAGTACAATAAAAGTGACCATACAAACTGAGAAAGATCTTTTACATTGCTGGAACAAGTCCCCAGCCGTGTTGTCAAAGCTAATACCCCAGCTTCTTTTAGGGAGCAGCTGGATAAGATCCTCACATCAACCAGCGATTAGCAGCCAAATGACCTTCTCTTGTTTCTCATGACCAAATAAAAGAAAAAGAATGAACAGGCTTCTCTAAAACTGCTATTGTTGAAGACTATCAAACAAAAACAGGTACTTTGAATTAGCACGGGTATTGATAACCCTGGCTCTGTAAAGCTGTTGTTTTCTTGCTTCATTCCAGCTGTTAATGGCTAAAGTGGTTGAAACGCTTATACTGTAGATAAAGACATTGTTTAATTAGGAAGACTTGACAACCCTCTCAGATCCCTGCTCATTGACCATTTAAGCCTGCTTATAAAACCTTACAAACTGCAACACAGCACAGAAACTACTCTTTCAGTCACCATAAAAAAAATAAAAAAAAACCTGCTCTGGGCTACAAAGCCAATGTGTGTGACTGGCTTTTAAAAAAAGCACAATCTTTTTGCAGATTCGAACCAACTGACGGACTGTAAAAAACTCTGAATCAAAATAATTATATTCATTATGGCTTACCAGATCCACTTAAGTGAAGAATTAAAGAATTAAATTAACCTAGAGTAAAAATGTTAATGGCAAATTCATCTTCACTGGATAATAATAATATAAATTTTATTAAACCTATACTGTGTCTCCATTCATGAACATCAATTACAATTAACCATATTACAGAACACTGTGGAATCAAAGTCCTAATTAAAAATGTTATAAGGATGTAATAACTTGTAATAAAATGTAATGTAATAAAATTAATCTGTGACAACAGCTTTTTTAAATCAACTTATACTGTAACATATTGATACATGTAGCTGCTCTATATGGCAAATTATGAAGCTTTTTCTTCCAAAAAAACAAAAGCAAGGTCTTTTATGATTTTTGAAAACTATGGAAAAACACAATTTAATGGACAGGAATTTCAGCATTAAGCAATTTATTGAATATCTTGTTGACAGAGACTATGGATGATTAATTTCTGAGACAAATATTTATATAGAGAAGTACTTCTTTGTGGTGCTTTTTCCCCCTTTAACTACATTATTGGATTCTATATAAACTTGTAATACGCATCCATTTTGCTGGTTAGAAAAATACTCTGGAATTATAGAGGATATAATGACTCTAAGAAGGTCCCAAATGTTGGGAACTGCTTTCCATTAAAGGAACGTGAAGCATCTTCTAGACAAGAAATTGCATTTCTGGCTTTTATGCCTCTAAAATGAAAGCAATCAGGAGTCTAAAGTCATTTCCAGATAAGATAAAGTTACAATTGTTTATACATAGAATGGATCTCAAGGTTACTTCAAACCAATATGAGCCCTTGAAGAAGCAACAGGATTTATTTTTTTTAAAATACTACAAAATCAATGCTGTTGGTGCAAATGCATGCAAACCTTGGCTAGTGTCAAATTTCCAATATTATTTTTTTCTTGTCAACTAAAAGGCTCATATTTTATGATCCCCTTGTTTTTCTGATCATCGCTTCAAGCGTGGCCCACTGATCCTTCGTAACCTACAAAACAGCAAAAGAAACGTAACTCAAATACACAAAGAGTGTTTTCAAAACTAAAGATTTAAGGCATGCAATCAAATGGAAAAAATTACCTTCTTCAAGTCATTAAATTCACCTGCCATTGAGACATATTCCCCACCATCCATTCTAATAACCTGTAAATAAACAAACGTGAACACTAGGTTAACTGCTCAGTTAAGTGCATAGGTAATATTTTTCCTTTAATTGCAGAATTGTTCCTAGCCAGATAAATACCTAACACAGAGATGGGGTATTTGATAAAAGTGCCAAGGTACAGCAGAACCAGAGTTTTAGGGTCAAAGGTACTGTAAATGAAAGAAGAGGTTAAAACCACAAGCCAGGAGAAGAATTAAATAAAATGAAAACTGGTATTGTTGAAACCTCTCCATACATTTACAGATTTTGTGTAAATGTGCATCCCTCAGATGTCAAATCTGGATGCTCTCTCACAAGTGTTTTTTCCTCAATTTCTTACCCACCTCTTTGCTTCATATGCCTGCTCCCTATCTTGCTTTCCCACACACCTGAAGCTAAAACACTGTGGGTCTTATTTCTGTCTTCTTTTTGGTGCAGGATTAACCTTTACTTGCTCCTCTACAGTTAATGCACACTGAAACAGCTTGAACCTTGGACCTTGACAGGAAAATTAGTTTCATGCCATCTTGATGGGTAGTGTGGCACTGAAAACATGGACAGCTGAACTATTTAAGTGACAGTAAGATCCATATGATTCAAACCTTAAAATAGACACTAAAGTCAAATAAACTACAACATCTTTTCCAATGAAACATGAATCATCAAATTCAGTATAGTTCACAAAGATTCAAGTACTGTATTTAAAAAAAAAAAGATAAAACTGTCTAAAGACGGTCAGGATGCTCCTGAGGGCGGACCTCAGGAAAAACTTTGTAGAAAACTGTACCAAGGTCAGCTCATGAACGTTGATGTAAGGATTATAACTTACCGCGCCAGTCACCCAGGTGGCATAGTCACTGCATAGGTATGCAGCAAGGTTGGCTATTTCTCCTGGAGTGCCCAAGCGACCAGTGGGTATCTTCTCCAGCATTGCTTTCTCAAACATTCCAGCTGGGTCTAAACGGCTGAAAGCACCCTTGATAAAAAATAAAAGGAAAAAATTAACCTAAAGAACCTTTCACGATATTTTATAGGGGGGAGTAATTAAATATACTAAAAGGTTTTCAAAAAACATTTCAGTTTAAATGGTGTGTCCATCGCTCATAAAAACAACCTCGTATCAATGAGATGCCAAGTCTGCCTTTTACCAGTAAGCTTCATCTTCAACCTTCAAAGTCAAAAACAGCCACAGATCAAATTGATTAATAAATTAACAAAGGGGAAGTGGGAAAAAGCAAGCACTTGAGAGAAGAATCAAAAAGAATCAAGGTTGAGTTGAAGAAAAGGAAGATAGGGAACTGCTAAAACGGGTAAGAGAAAAATGTTAGAAAGATCATGCCAATGTAGGGTGCATTAAGTTTGTTTTCCCAGCATTACAGCAGCAAAAGAACAGTAAAGTGTTGCAGATAATAACAGGGAAATTCTAGAAAGTTTTTAGTGTAGCCTAATCAAGAACTATCATGTTAAAACCGTGCAGTATTAAGAACATTGTGTGGAATTCCTGATCACCGCTTTATAAAAAATATACTATGAACCAAAGAGCAACCAAAGATCCGAATCTTACAGACTTGAACATAGACAACCATGAGAGGACCTGATTTAAGGACCTTCAAAACACATTGGCAAAATACACCCAGCAGGCTTCTGAATCAACAGTGAAACATAAACAAGAGAACACAAGTGGACTCTATGGGTAAGTAGGTTAAAACTGAGATCAGGGGGCATTTTTTTATACAGAGGGGATGTGGAGATCAGAAAGTAGCTACCCACCCCTCTAGTCAAACCTGGTGCCCGGTCTTCCTTTAAGAAACAGCTAGATTAATTCCCCAGATCAGTTAGCTACTAGAAACCAAACAGGACAGACGGGCAGCATGGCTTCCTGTCACTTGTAATCATTCTTCCGTTTTTCCCCATGACAAACGCCTTTTATAGCAAGACCACACCGTTTTAGTTGTCCTTAAAGTCATCCTGCTTTCTTAAGAGACGACTACAACATGACAGAATGCTGCTTTTTCTAGTCTAGGATCAGGCATTTGGACATCTGAATTTCAAAAACCTGTATCTCCTCCACAAAGCCGCCTAAGCACGTAACTTATTAACTGCTTCTTCCCTCTGATTTTATATTATAAAGCATTCTTCAGCCAAGTGCACAAGTTACCTTAGTTTTTATTGGCCCGGGCTGAATCACATTAAATCTCATACCGTATCTCCCCCATTCTGCAGCAAGTGACCTATGAAGGAAAGACAGAGTAAATCAGTGAAAGAATATAGTTGGTTTTAGAGACCAAAAAAGTACAGCAGCAAAAGGTAATGGATGTACTTACATTAGCTGTGCGCAAGTGTTAATTTTTCACATTGTTAATTTTAAGGAACACAGACGTATAGGAACATGTCACCAGCAAATTTCTGGTATATAAATTGGTAAAGGAGAGACAATTACATCTGAAAATAACATTAATCATTAAGGCCCATTATATTTCATTATACTGTATAGGCATCATCCAGCAGTAGCAGGAGTAGAAAAAGTCAGATGAAATGTACAGTACAGTACATACTATATTTAATGCCTCTTTTTACATGCAATATTGCAATATTGGCTAGTCTGGCAACCCTGTTTCTAGAAAGATCAGTTTTACCATGGCAAGACTGAATGAAACAAAGTTAAAAGCCTATTCAGTCCTGTGATTTTTGTCTAAAACTGTAAAGTAAATATCAGGCATGTCTACAAAGAAACAGCACATCAAAGACAACCGGTCTGTTTTCAGAACTGGAGATGAAAAGGAAATAACATACCAACTTAAAAGAACAGAGCTCTTACTTCTGTCAGGATATAGGTCTTTTAGGTTCATTTTACCAGACCAAGGTGTTAAAAATACCAGCACTCTGCCTATATTCATCAATGCTGAAAACTCACTGTGATCCAATGATCTCTACACATGCAATTGCAGTCAAGGAAAAAAACAAAAAGCTGCAAAGAAATAATAGTTTTCCTGGCATATAATTAGATGCTGCGATGATTTGAGAATCACAGCTGAGATCTTCATCAGAATATTTATCTAGTCTTAGTAATATCTCCAAGTTTATGAATAATCAGCCTATTTTTGCGAGTAGATTTGCATTTTTATTTACTTGACAAAAAGACTACAATGGAGTGCATATTTATTAATAAGGCTCCAACTAGGCTTTGATGAAAACCAAGTGCTCTCTGCCTCCCCACAACACTGAAATGGATTCAAATTATCTAGATTGCGTTGCTTTCATTTCCGAGACAATTCTACATCAGTAAACAAAGCACACAGTACATGACAAAACTGTTTTTCTACTATAATTTATTTCAAACCTGTCTATAAAACAGGAGTAGTGTACCCAGTATTACATTGATTAAATCTTGCACATTATGAGTTATTTAACATTGATATAAATTAAATCCCTATTCCGTTACTACACATTATATCAACAATTTGGTTTTTTTTATGAAGTTCCCCTCATGTCTGTCCTCCTACAACACTCAACTCTACCCATCTGTAATATGAATTTTAACAACCTCACCGAAGGATTACAGTTTTACAGAAGATCAATGGGCCTAGGCTTTCAGTGTAAAAAAAAACATTTGTCAGCTATACATTCATTGCATGAGTTTTTGACAAGAATGCTCTCATTTTAGACACTCTAAGCACTTGTAAAATAATTGGGCAGGAATGTTAAAGAGGCATACATTAAATATTATCACAGATTATGATTTTCAAAAAGGTCCTGAACATTATTAGCTCTGATATACTCATCTGTAGGAGTTCTATTTCTGTACTGTGCTGTGCAACATGACAGCATGTGAAGAAGAAACTGGCCACAGCTTACATGGCTTGGAAGACGTACTTACTTGCACATGGTTTCAACTCCTGCCTTGGCTGAGGCACTTGGGACCACAAACCCCGAGCCACTCTCTGCATAGATTGTTGTTATTGCCAAGAAAGCTGCACCTAGAGACACACCGCAGAGCGTTACTCTAGATTGCCTCTGAGTCTTCCCAAGATCAGAAATGAACTCAAGACGTTTGGTGGAGAAGCTGCATTTCTTTAGTCTCGAAGAGAGATGTCTACTTGGAGAATTCATAAGGATTCAAAATCCCTTCAGAAGTTGGCAAAATCAACCCCATGAACTTCACTGAAAGCACAAGTAGGGAATGCAAAGACGGGCAGTTAGGACTGATAATAATGTGTATGCCTTAACTCAATTAAGGCTGTCTGGAGCAAAACCTTCAGCCATGAAGAATGTGATTCCCTGGAATCTTTTTAAAAAATACAGTAGCTGGATGAACTACCCAGGTCAAGAACAAAGTGGATGCCTGATCTCTTTTGGAACTCCTTTGCTACCATTTTCAGTCAGCCCACAAGAGCATGTGACGTGTGGAAAACCAAAGGTTTTCGTGTGCTGTGCAATTTTTTTATGATCCTTAAAATAAAATCCAAATGAAAGATTTCCCATCAGAATATGCCACTCCGAGCTCTTTGGCACAGGCCATTAAAGAAAACAATTATGAATACAGTTCTTGAATATAAAGAGAACAGGAGATGAATGATAATTCACTTTCCACAGTCTAGCAAAGCAATCATCATGGTTGCATTAGTTCGTAAAACATGTCAAGTCTTTACTTCTATTTGTAAAGAGAAGCTTGTTTTTCAAACTCAATAGAGAGTATTTTTTAAAGATATGGTGCAAGAGGCACTCTTCCAGAATTATTTTTTAAAATGACAACATATTGTGTCGCCACCAGTCCACTTAAAAATGTATCACCCAAAAACAAAGGATATTGATGAGGGTTAAAGGACTTTTAAAAACAATACTGTGGAAAATACAACTGCTCTATTGCACGTCAATTTAATGTGCAAAATATTTTATAAGGCTGCATGACATTTGGAAGGCTTTTATTTTACAATCCATACTTCAAGTTAAGTATCAGGAAAAAAAATTAAAGTAATTCAAACAGTACACTATATACCACATTTAGGAAATATTAGTATATGGGCCAAGAACGAACTTTGCTAGAAGTATTTGAATTCAAAACAATTTCTCAAAAATGCCAATAAAAAAAAAGTTAACTCAGGGTTTTAATAATCAAATTCCAATGGCATAGGGAAACCAGGAAACCAATGGCGTACAGAAACCAGGAAAAGGATAGCTTATTAAAGACATACATTAACTTGTTTTTTATACTGTTTTAAAATCATTTCCAGCACCAGTTCCAATTAAATCCAAAACAGCCTCTGATTTTTAGTACATCAACATTCAAAAGAAGCCCCCTAAATGGTCAGATAATCAATGAAATGACAGAAAGAAAAAAAAAACAGGAACTTTAATCATTTTGCATCTAGTAATACATAGTTAAGAATAAATTACATATAGTTGTGTACATTATATTAACTAGAACTGGGCTTTGCCTCAGCATGCAGGCTGTCAAGGAAAAATGCAAGGTTAAATTCAGGCTGGCAAGGACAAAGAACAAAGTACTTTATGACCTTCGTGATCTGGGGAGGATTCTCAGAAAAGAGCAGCAAGTATGTAAATGTATAATCAGAGACAGGCAGAGGTGGACCCATGAGAAAGAACTCTTGAGAACACACACTGTCAAACTCGTATGGGATGCAGGTAAGTGGAATATAGACAGAGGGTCTATTTACAAATGACATCTGTAATTGTCTCTGTCAAAAATCTCGATAATCACAAGGTATAACATAAACACAATACAAGGTACATACAATAAGATAAAAACCAGAATTGCAAAGTACAACTATGCGATAAACAGAGTTTTCCAGAAATTGCCAATAAATCGGTTTATGTAGTCTGGATAAAGAACATTTTGGCTTGAGACATGTCTTGACCAAATGAAAATCCTGTGCAGCATCTTAATCAGGTGAGAGGAGCTGACTAGCGCTTTACTGCCCTCTGGTGAATAAAATGTATAAATATAACTAGAAAAACAAACAGAAATATTAATTCTGAAACATCTGCCAAATAGCTTGCAATTTCCTCATAAAAATTCAAGCTAATCTTCAAAAGAATTTTTAAAAGTTAAGGATTTTTTAACTTCACTTCTAAAAAAGGACAGTCTTTTGAGGGTAACTACTGTAGGGTAGTAACTGCAACTGATAAATAAATCAATATAAAATGGTAGTCTAGCTTTATTAAATAGAAAGCAAACGTACATTTCTGTAGTGTATAAGGCTTAATGTTGACTGGACTTAAACCTTAATCCTTTCTTATAGCCTTGTTAAAAGCTCAGTAGGTTGTCAAGACAGCACAGTTAATCAAAATACATTTATAAAAGTCCCTGACAAACACTACATTTTTTATCTTAAATATTTTGCCTAACACTAAAATTACTGTTTATTCCAAAAAATCCAAGCCAAATGTTAAGGATTTTCAAACAGCCAAATAAAAAATGGGACATGTAAATTTCTGAAAAGGATTTGATTAAAATGTGTGCTCCTAACAATGAAAAAGAACCGCAAATCCCTCAAAGCCCTCTTGATTCATATACTGTATGCTGGTAAAAAAAGTAATGTTACCTCAATGCACATCTGAAATCTTACTGAAATTAATTTTATTGAGTATATAGCAATTAACATAATGTGAAGATGTATAATACCCTTGGAATTGTACTTCACAATTATAAATTCACAGCTGTGTTTCTGACCAACTGACAGAAGTATGAAATCTAAAATCTAAACATTGTTTTTTTAAATATAGTCATTTATACTGCAGTACTATATACTTTAGCAAGTACCAAAAACTGCAGTATGTGGATGTTAATTAAGGCATTCACCCCCAGTAATCAAAACTATATTTTAAATCACTCTTTAATAGTTCTACAAGATGTTGCTGCTCCAAAGCATAACACTTGTTAAAATATGGATAATGGTAAAAACTCAAATCAATGTAAACCAACAAGCATACAATAAATGGATAACATTCCCACGCAATCTGGTAAACAAAAAGGAGAGAAATCAAATAATTGATTCTAATTAGGAACAGCACACCATTCCAATTGCAAAATCATTGACAATTATCCAGCAAAATTAATTACAAAAGTAACCATGCTAACTGTTCTGATGTACTATCATTCAGAGGGCCATAATGTTTAATTAGAGGCCCAGTTTACAGTGAAGTTTTAACAAATAACTGCACATTAGATGGCCAGTACCTTACCTTAAATTTCTATTGGGTGAATGAAAAAACAACTCTGCCACCAGGCACCAGGTTTGTAATTGTGTAATCAAAGCTTGATTTCCTGATTTCTCGCGGGCCTTTGTCCAAATACTCCCTAGTGGCAAAAATACCCTCCTGAACATCTTACCTTTCTCTGCTTTTATAAGCTGTTTCCCCAGCTCGAGGGTCACATACGCAGTGCCATTCAGAACGATATCCGTTATGGTTCTCCAAGCGTTGGGAGACAGGCCCTCAGACGGAGAGATGAAATTGCCTGCAGCATTATTTATTACCACCTAATAAAGCAGAGAACGAGTTACTAACCAGAAAACCGATTCACGCAACAGAAAAGAGATCATAAGGAAACAATCGGTAAATGCCCTTCTCGTTCTCCAATTAAAGCTGATTTGGGATTACCCCTCAGCAGCACGCCGCTGAATACGAAACACCTGACAGTTTAAAAACATGATATAACCATGGCGATGTTCCAGCTTTTCTAACAATGAGAACGCGGTCGTTAACTCAGACGAGTTAAGATTGAACAATAAAGCCTGTTTAAAATATCACTAGATATGAGAAAATGCAACAAAAACAACTGAGTGATTCATCTGCATAGACAAGAGCTACAACACGGGTTTATAGATAACTTCTTTTCATTTTAGCTGTTGCAACATTATTGCTATATGAACATTCCTATTTGGGGGAAACCTACAGTATTTGATTTGAGCGACTCCATTTTTCACCAGGACTAATTGTGCTGATCACAGCTATAGATGTAAATGACTCATTCATTCCTATCCGTTAACAGACACCCATTTCTTTCAAGTACAGCTGGAAGCAGCAACTCAGAGCCATGACTTATTAATATACTCCACATATTTCTGATCTCATTATTTTTATATGTGTAGCATTTCAAAATATTTCAAGATTTTCAACTAAAATATGCTTCTGATTCTGCATTGTTTGCCTTTTTCTCCCCCCAAAATCTAACATAGATTAATGTGCAGAAACAGAAAAGGATATCAAGAGGTATCTGTTTTAGCCAGTAATCCCTCCTTACTATAATCGTATTGTTATCGGACTATTATATGCTCTGTTGTGATGAAACGATGAAAAGATCATCAGCATATCATCATTACATTATCCCACTCAAAAGAATGAAATAAATCTGGACTTCTTATAGGAAGCACATCTTTTAACAAAACATTTAGTAAAGTAAGAAACTACTAATCACTACCGCAATGTCACTTTTACCTGGGAAGTTTGAGAAACAGACAGGGAAAACAATATACTAAATAAATTCCTTACATTTATATAGTGCTTTTCTGGACATTTCACTCAAAGTGCTTTACAGGTAAACTCCCCTCCATCAACACCTGGATGATGCGATGCCAGTAGGCTCAGCACATCTCAGCTATCAGTGGAGAACAGAGTGATGAAGCCAATTATCAGGAGGCCATGATTGGTAATTTGGCCAGAACACTGGGGTAACACCCCTACTCTTCCTGAGAAAAGCCCTGGGTTTTGACCACAGAAAGTCAGGACCTAATTTTTCCGAAAGACTGTGCCATTTTTACAGTATAGTTTCCCCATCACTAAACGGGGGCATCAGGACCCACAGACCACAGGGTGAGCACCCCTACTGGTCCCACTAACACCTCTTCCAGCAGCAACCTTAGTTTTTCCCAGGAGGTCCTGACCAGGCTCACACCTGCTGAGCTTCAGTAGGCTGCCCGTTGTGAGTTGCAGGGTGACAGCTGCTGGCCATACTACAGCTTCAAGTAAGATGGAGAGAACCATTTGTTCTTGCGCTTCTCAAATAAGAGAATAATTTTTCACATCTCTCTTCACAAAAGTGAGCTCACAAAACTCCGGTGTGAAGCCATACGTACATCAGGAAGGCCTGCGACCTTGACGAGCTCAGCGACAGCAGCTTGTACAGACACTGGGTCCCTCACATCGCACTGTACAGCGTGCACCTAAAGGCAAAGCAGTTGTGAAATCATGTCCAAAATCACACAAAGAGCAAAATGTAACATGCATTGGCTTTAAAGTAAACATAGCTCAAACACTAAAAGAAAAACTGACGTACAGCATTTATAGCAGCTCAAAGAACTAGATTAGTGATGAGAAAGCTATGTTACTGTCTACTTAATGCCTTAATGCCAGGATATTTTTTTTTAAATACAGCAACTGATCATTTTATCACAGAAAGATTGATATTGAATAAGGGTTTAACCTCTAGAACACACAAAAAATATTTTTAAGAGCAGGTAAAACAATCTCAAAAAAACAGCTGCAGCCTCATTAACGCAATGGTGTTTTTTTCCTGTGCTTTATTATTAAAGTAAAGGACATTTCCAAAATATACTAATTCTTAGTTTTAATTGAATTACATTTACCTTGTTTCCTGTCTGTTTTGTAATTTCCTCAGCCGTTTGCTTCAAGACATCCAACTTTCTAAAACAAAAAAAGGACACAAAAATCCAACAGTCTAGTCAATAAATCTAATAATTATCTGAGATGTGAACAAAACCCCCCAAAAAAAGTTTTCTAGATGAAATCAAGCCCTGACTTTTATGCTCAAACTCAGGTTGAAGACGAACAAGGAAAAATAATATATGTCTTAAGAGTTTTTAAACAGGACAAAACAATGACGCTGCTAGACAACATTTGCAACTGAGGGACAAAGTCTACTATCAGTTCCTACAAAAAAAACAAAACGGCAGTGAAGACTTGCCTAACCCTAACTCTACGAAGATGAACCCCGGTTCAGCGCAGAGTCACAAATTGCGCTAAGCACTTGGGGGTGCAGTTGTGCCAGCGCTCTGCCTGCGCTGTGGCTAAACCCACACCACCCACCTGCTCGCAATAACGCACTCCGCACCCAGGGCGGAGAGGGTGGCCGCCATGCCCTTGCCCAGCCCGGTGCCCCCTCCCGTGATGAAGGCGACTTTGTTCTTGAAGGAACCGGGGGGCAGCATCGGTCCTTCAGCAGGGGGGAAGAACGCAGCCTGCGGATGGGCGCTGCTCTGGCACAGCGCTTTCGTCCCACTGCTGAAAAACTAAGTGGGAGCAAGCAGACCCCCCCACGCATGTCAAGTTCTGGGACACGCCAGAAACTGGTACTGTACCCAGATCAATGCGAAATGAGTTGCTTTCCTTTAAAAAACAAAACAACAGGATGCTCCGTTTTTGAAACATTACCTGTGAAGACATTCCTAGTTTTTAACGTTATTATTTTTTGGGGGTTTTTACGTGAAGGTTGGATCGACTTTACACCCTCCAAAACAAAGTCATGTATATAACCTTCTTCCAGACACATTAAGATAATAACTTAAAAATGCTAACTTTTTCACTGCTTTGTAAAAAAAAAATGCTACCGTCTAAAATTAAGCTGGGGGGAAAAAACTACAGCGTACAACTACTGATAACTTTTCTCGGTTTCTAAGAAACGTAGCTATTCAATAAAATGTCAGCTGAATGAAGCAGTGAGTTTTAAAACTCTCCTGTAGGTTTCTCTGCCACATAAACTCTTGAACTGTGATCCTTCACAGTGCAGTAGTAATCATCTACTACCTTTAAACATCTAGAGACAGCTTGTTATTGCCTGCGTAAAATCCACTTGATCAAATCAGTAAAGTATACTGTATCTATTAAGAACATGACTTCAAGATTCTGCTCTAAGTTACGTACCTTTCTGTGCATGCCATATCTGAAGGCTAAGGCTGAAACTGAATTGGTATTAAGTGAAAAAGGATTAAGTCTACATAAATATGCCGCAGCCATGTTTCGCAAACTCTAACACGACCTTAGGTTTTGCAAAGACTTTCAGTGATGCCGTTCTTCGACTGCTCTCTGCGTGACGTCACTGAGGTCCGCCCGCAGACGTCTGCGCAAACTCTGCGCAGCCCAGTGCACCTCTGAGTAAAGATGATATGACTGCAGCTGTAAACCAGTACTGAGCCGTGATGCGAAATACTGTATTCATACAATACTATTATTATACAGTACTGTCGTTTACAAAGCACTAGGTTCGTCCTCAGCAAACCTGAGATTAAGTTTTTATTGTAGGTCATTTATTTTACTGGATTCCACTGTAAAGCTTGTGGACTGCAAATGTGATTTATCATACAGAAATTAGTAAAATTGCCACATATTGTGTGATTAATAATTAGAGCGCATGCTCTGGTGCATAAACAATACAGTGTTCGGTTCTGAGTTGTGAAAGGGAAGTTAATTAATTTTGAGAGCAGGAACGGTACAGGCTCATCGAGATTGTGCTAAAGGAAAACCAATAGGGACTATTGCTTTGTTCTATCGTGACTTTTGGTA